AAGCAGCGCGACCATCCTATGTATTTGAATGACAAAAATGTCATATTCGCCTTATTCACTTGGCGGCCATTTTGAAAATGGAACGCCGCTGAGGGGTACACTCACCCGGAAGGATGCATGCAACGCAGCAGCACCAGCAATGAAAACTCGCAATGCGGACCACCAATCATTCCTGTCTGCCCGAATTAACGATGCAAAATGTGAAGCAAAGTGCCAGTGACTGAAACATCCCCCGGGCTGTGTTAATTAAGGGATACAGTACCTGTATCGGAGGTTTTATCCACGACATTGAACGTAGGAATGGACGCCTTGCCAGTTTCTGCGAGCTTGCAGCAGCCAGAGGTAATTAACGTTAGTAAGCTAAGCTGTAATATGGAGTTGTTGACTGTGTAAGTTACTATGTTAGATACAATTGTACTTTATTGTTTAGATAGATACACATCCAGTAGCTTACATACACACACATGCATGTAAAACAATCAAATCACTCACATGTATGTAAAAGGAAAGAGGAGAAGTGATTTTAAGGTCTGACAGGGACTGATCCTGTTACACACTGACAATGATAAGCTGCTATGGTGACAATACAAGTTTACATGTATAGATTCATAAAGAATAAAAATAATGATGGTAATGGATTTGTATAGATTCTAATAGTACACAGTCAACTTCCTACAAGCTTGCAGAAACTGAGGTAAATTGGCGTCCATTCTTACATTCAATGTCGTGGATAAAACCTCCGATACAGGTACTGTATCCCTTAATTAACACAGCCCGGGGGATGTTTCAGTCACTGGCACTTTGCTTCACATTTTGCATCGTTAATTCGGGCAGACAGGAATGATTGGTGGTCCGCACTGCGAGTTTTCATTGCTGGTGCTGCTGCGTCGCATGCATCCTTCCGGGTGAGTGTACCCCTCAGCGGCGTTCCATTTTCAAAATGGCCGCCAAGTGAATAAGGCGAATTGCGAGTCATTTATGCCTGCCGACCGGCAACGGTACATTGCAAAATTAACTGTAATAGGTTATGATTGCCCATATTTAATTAAAAACTGGGTCAATGACCCAACCAAATGGCCAGAGGTGTCGTTTCCAGACTATTGTAATCTGGTTGAATCTCCAGGTAAGACATCGCGTAAGCTACCGGCAACACAAGCCTATAACTCAATCAACTTGCGTATAAGTTACTATAAGTCCATAAAACCATGTCACTTACCAATTGTATGCTTCACTCCAAACTAGGGGTTTCATCAACTAGTCGACTGTTACAACCACTAGTTGGCGCTGTTGGCCTTAGTCGACTAGTCGGAAACAAAATGATGACATATATATAGATATATTTTTTTGTTAACTATCCCTTTAAATACAAGCGGCAGTACTATATACTATAAGCACTATAAGGCGCACCTTCAATTACCTAATTTAGAACATTTTTCAAACGTTTGACTGGGTTTGCATTATGCATCCACTAGATGTGCTAAAGGAAATGCAGCGAGTGCGTGGCGTCGGAGGTGAGGCGTTTTTTTAGTAAAGGCCTCATTATGCTTCTGCGTCAACTCCACGGCATAGCTACGGCGTCACTACTACGGCGTCGTGGCCGTTTTATACTTCTGCGTGAGGTTGTGGTTCTTCGCGGTGCATTTCGCCGCCAGAACGCTAGGGGTGTTCGCGAATCTCTTTGGTTCCGTGCGCCGCGAGCGAAAGAGAGATAATGTTGTTGCAGCTGCCAGCTGGAGCTAATCGACGTTGAATAACAAGACGACACAAAACTTTATCCCCACAGAATCAACACGGATGTCCAGGGCCCGTTCCACCCATAGACAGTAAAATAAAGGTTCCACCCGAGCTGCCGTAACGATAGCTGTTCGGAATGACTTGAAGGATTTTTTCAGTCTCCACATGGAACTGTGCTATGGCAGGATAATGTGTCCCGTGGCAGACTTGGTTAGTACTGTATTATCAATGATGTAACCGTGAACATTGTTTTGAAAATAAACAGCAAACTGTGTTTCAAAACAAACGTTGATTTATTGATTGATTGAAGTTTATTGCGAGAAAGAAAGAAAAGAATATAGACATATATATTAACAATGAAATAAAAAAAACAGTTTATTTTTAGTTTAATTCTTTATTTAACGTTACTTTCTTTAAGAGTGTTATAATTAAAAGAACGAGGGTGCAAATGTTAAAAATAGCGCTATAACAGGAGGGGGAAATCGGAAAAGCTACACTCCTGAAATTATGTTTAATCTGACCAATCAAAGCCCTTGCTGTCTGCGTCGCCTCGACGCGTAGTTACAAATTTTTGGAGGTGCACGTCGAGCTACGGCAGAGGGGTCGGATCGTGGAGACATTTACTATTCGTGATGTCGCACACCCCTAGAATAAACCATTTAACGACTAGTCGACTAGTCGTCGACTGTTATGCAAAACTAGTCGACTAGCAAAAATCAGTAGTTGTGAAACCCCTACTCCAAACTATTAATCCTTTTGTAAAACGGTGATCAGTAGTAGCTACGAAGTTGCAGAGGGACTTTGCTGACAGTTATCCGAATTCTTACAGACTGCAGTCTGATAACTATGAGCTGATAACGCTAATGTGAATGAGACATCCCTTATGAAAAACAACTAAAGGAATCTTGTAGTATTTTAGGACAAATATTATAGTAACGTTAATCCTATAGGAATACTATAGTATTTTGGGACATAGCCTAGAAGTATAGAGGTATTAAAGAACATCACAGAAGTATTATACACTACTATAGAATACTAATAGCCATAGGATTACAATAGTTCTTTTTCGTAAGGGATGTAACGTCAGACAAATCTGGCCCACTGCCTAATACGAGTTAAACATCTACTACTATCACACAGGGATCTCTACTCACACAGTAATCTAATAAGATATGATTAATTTTGCCATTTTGTCCTCCTATCCGGTTCTGTATGCATGTAAGAAAGGCTGTAGAACTTCAATTTATAATTTGTTAGTTTATTGGTGGTACAGAAAACGACACAGCAACTCTTCGGCATGATTGTCGCATCTATTTCAATGAGCGCCAAGGCAATGTTTTCCCCCATGGGCTAAATTCACATCACGTGACGGGGCGTTCCCAGACCAACCGACTGTATCTATGCTGAATGACATTCAAAACAGCTCGTCTCTCAGCCCATCTGCTTAGAGTGACTGCCGATAGGTATCAAGTTACGCCCTCATCCAAAGGCAGGGTGGGGATATGCAGCTAGGGCTGGGCGATATATCGAGTTTGTACGATGTATCGTTATATTTTTTAAAACGATATGGAATGAGGCAATACCGTTTATATCGATACAGTAGTTTGATATGAGCACATCTGAAAAATAGCGGAGGTTGCAGTGTGAGCTGCTGCAGTGAAAGTAGCTAGGCTACGTAGTACAATTTGTCCTAAACATGACACAAGCTTATATTAATTGCGTCAAAATCACTTTGATATAGTTAACAAGTTTAAGGCAGCTTGCCGCCCTGTCAAATTCTCTGACAGACACTGTTGCTGACTGACAGGATATACTTGCTCTGTTTAATGCGTTTGAGATGTGGTGCTTTCCTCAGTGCTCAACTTACATTTCACAGGTATATTCTCCATCTGTAAAAGTTAGAAAGTAAAGCAAATATGTCCATTTCACAACAAATATGTCCATGTCAGAAGAGGACGAGTTTCTGGAAGTGAATCTCCGCTAAAATTCATGCTTCCTTGAACGAGCGCCGGCGCGCGCATGCACGTGAATAGTACTACGTAGTACGCAATAATTCTGACTAAAATAAACATATTGCTAAAATATTTGTTGTTGGAGAAAATAAATGTGCCATATGTGGAATTTTAAACCTACAAGAATATATTTTTAATGAAAGTGAAAGTGATTATTATAATGGGGTAATCAAATGCAGGCTAATATAATTAGTTTGTGCTTTTGTTTTTATTTTCATTTTTAGTTTAGCCTTTAGTCAATATAAAAACAAAAGCTTTTTGCACATAATATATTGCATAGCCTATATTATATTTGTTTCCATATCCTTCAATATCAACATTGTTTGTAGGATATCATTGGGCCGAATGTGAATATATATATACATATATATATATATATATATATATATATATATTTTTTTTTTTTAAATATAAAGATTTTCTTTATCTAAATAGAAAACGTAGAAAGTACCGAGATATATATCGTATATCGCCATTTGACCAAAAAATATCGAGATATGATTTTTTGGCCATATCGCCCAGCCCTATATGCAGCTCATTTGCATTAAGGTGGTATACCTCCAAAACAGCTCATTTTTAAAGAGGCCCCAAAATTACATTTTCAAATGGTTATAATAAATTAACTGTGGGGTATTTTGAGCTGAAACTTCACAAATACATTCTGGGGACACCTGAGACCAATATTACATCTTGTAAAAAGGGGCATAATAGGTGCCCTTTAAGTTTCATTGAGGCAGACCGGTTTAAGAACAGAAAACGCAAAGTGCTGTTAGAAACTTAGAACATCGATATCTTTGTGTCTCTGAAGCGTGTCAGCAAAGCGGCTTTTTATTTCTCAATAAACGTGAAACAATATAAACACGATAATCATTTGCTGATGCGAGTGTGTACGTTCTGTACGATATCTGGGGAAATCTGCTTTATTATGCGTTTTTTTCCCCGTTCGCGCTGCTTGAGCATGTGTTTATTAATGCTTTTGTTTTTTTATATATTTTGTTTACACATAGGCCTACTGTTTACTGTTTTCAACTAAAAGAAAACTTTAACATATATTGTAACCTTGTTGTGTATATTGCCTAATTGTTACCTTGTTCAGAAATGGTGACAAAAAAAAAATCATAATCACATAATGACATAATCATGATGATCAGGGAGGCTGGGGTTAATGAGAGCGCAGTGACATAATCATGATGATCAGGGAGGCTGGGGTTAATGAAAGCACAGTGACATCATCATTATCATCAGTGGGGTTACCGCTGGAGAGTGGCGGGGGGCCGGTGGCCGCTGTCGGGAGAGGTGGAGGGGTGCCCGGCGGGGTGCTCTCGATGCCACTCTCTTCCATCATCTTCACTCTGTCCTGTACACACCACATGACAAACTGTAAACTTCTTCGACTTAAATATGACAAGCAGAAAATGATAATAAACATTTCACATAAGATACTGGGTGTGTAACAATATATTGCACTATAAAAATGCAACAATGTGTATCGTGGAGAGGCTCATTATGTATTGTGTATAGTTCACCCAAAATTATATAGCAATTCTCTAGTGCACTTGTTGAATCCTCTAATGCACCGAAATAAGTAGTGTACAACCCATTAACAGTTCATCACTGTTAAAGGAACACTCTGACTTTTTGGGACTTTAGCCTGTTCACCTTACCCCCCCAGAGTTAGATAAGTCCATACATACCTTTTTCATCTCCGTGCGTGCTATAAGTCTGTTTGACGCACCCACCGCTAGCCTAGCTTAGCACAAAGACTGGATGTGAATGGTTGCAGCTTTCATACTAATCCAAATGAGTGACAAAATAACGCAAACGTTTTCCTATTTAGATGTTGTGATTTGTATAGTCACAGAATGTACAAATAACAAAGTCAAATGAGACACAGACATCTTTTAAGACACCGTATAAAACCTGGGAACTATTCTCTGAAGGCGAAGCACTGCTACTTTGACAGAGTAATAACTGCATCACCTGAGACACGCCGTGGTGAGGAGCGGAGAGTTCGCTCAGTGTTTGGGTAACAGAGTCAGCAATTTATAAATAGTAAAAGCGTAGTTTACAGTCATGGGTTTTCGCTCTATTGTAAATAGCTGCGACAGTAAACAGGGGAGGTAATGTTTCACAGAATCGCTGACTGGATGAAGAAATGGCTAACTTACTCTGGATATTTATCTAAACACACCTACAGTAAATAGATTATCAAGGGACATTATGTTTGCTCGGTACATTTCAATGGACGACTATTTTGAAAAAATGGAATTTGCCACACGGACCATAATGTGCTGAAGGATAAGGCATCTATCCCATCGATAGCACAGACAGGACAAGTGGATCACCTGCGGCTGAGGTAATTGTTCCGTTATGTTTTTAGATGACCTACTGTAACAGTGCCATTAGCCAGAGCTAATGTAACGTTAGTGACACTATTATATGATAAGGGTATGAATATGTTTTTATCTTGGTGCGGTGCGGACGCGCTTGGAAAAAAACGAGCGCGTTCACCGCGTTGAACTTGCACCCTGCGCGCGACGCACCTAGTAGCCTAAATTTGAAATAACCATGGAAATAACGAACTTGAGCGTGCAAAAGGGTACGATAGGCTGTGAGTTCATTGTGCAAAAACAATTTGTGCTATTACTTTCCCCGTATTCTATCCTATAGTAATGCAATTATACTGTATATTATATACTGTTGAATACATTTGGTTCAGCTAATAAATTGCATTTAAAATATATTGATTCCTGTAATAATAATTATTTATTCATGTGATATTTATAAATCTGGGTGCGTTTTTGGTTGGAAATCAATGAAACATGGTACTTACCTGGTCTCCCCTGTTTATTGTCACAGCTCATACAATAAAGCAAACATCCATGATAAACTATGCTTTTCTATCTAACGTTAGTAATTGCTGACTCTGTTACCCAAACACTGAGCGAACTCTCTGCTCCTCGTCACGGTGCGTCTCAGGTGATGGTTATCACTCTGCCCAAGTAGCAGTGCTTCGCCTTCAGAATTATTTATACGGTTAAAAGATGTCTGTGTCTCATATGGCCTTGATATTTGCACACTCTGTGACTATACAAACCACAACATGTAAATAGGAAAATGTTTGCGTTATTTTGTCACTCATTTGGATTAGTATGAAAGCTGCAACCATTCACATCCAGTCTTTGTGCTAAGCTAGGCTAGCGGTGGGTGCGTCAAACAGACTTATAGCACGCACGGAGATGAAAAAGGTATGGACTTATCTAACTCTGGGGGGTAAGGTAAATAGGCTAAAGTCCCAAAAAGTCGGAGTGTTCCTTTAAGGTCTGGTGAAATTAAATATCACAATGCTTCAGAGAGTCCTACGTCTGAGTTCACAGAGAACAAGCATATTCGTCTACAATATTTCAGTGTTTTCAGCTTCAGAATCATGAATATTGTTCTTATTCATTCACACACAAAATGTAACACCAAATTTAGCATTTTAATCAATAATATTTGTTTTAACCTTTTATCTTGTCTTGATATAATATTGTTCAGAATCGTGACATGAGAGTATCGTTACACCCCTATAAATCACAATCACATGCTGACAGGCTAAAACCATCATTTAATCAACAGGAATAATCTGGACTGATTGCACAAAAAAAAAAAATAAATATTCGTACTTAATATTTTTGTCTGGTTTCCCAGTACCAAAATCTAAACATTCTTACATTCAGATACATTTACTTGAGAAGCCTTGTTTTTCAAAAAGAAGTGCATTTGTTTATGCATGAAATAAGAAAAATATATCTGGCAGTGAGGTAACACTCGTGGCGGCAGTGGCTCAGTGGTTCATGTAGTTTGTCTACAAACCAGAAGGTTGGTGGTTCAATCCCTGGTTCCACCTGGCCAAGTGTTGAGGTGTCCATGAGCATGCTACCGACGAGCTGGATGGCGCCTTGTGTGGCTGACACCATGGTCGGTGTATGAATGAGTGTATGAATGGTGAATGTGAGGCAAAATGTAAAGCGCTTTGGTGGCCATTGGCTCTGTGAAAGCGGTATATACAGTCCATTTACCATTTTACCATAAAACAAAAAATGAAAGGGAATTGATTTTCCTGACCCTGGCCTGCTGTCAGTTATTTCTTCTTGTTTTAAGCACTTAATTTTTAATTTGGCTTCTCAAAGTAAATATATTAATTTAAGAATGTTTACATATTTTACTGAAAACATGACAAAAACAAACATAATTTGCAGTGTGAGCAACACAGCCACATGACATCATTAATGGAGAATTACATCACAGCAGTAAGTAACAGGTCAGTCAGAAGTAGTCAAACGCTGTCTTCATCTGTGTGTCCAGCTGTCTCATAAGGACCGTCAGTCAGAAGTAGCCAATGTTGTCTCATGAGGACAGTCAGACAGAAGTAGGCAAACAATGTCATAATCTGTGTCCTGCTGTCTCATGAGGACAGTCAGTCAGAAGTAGTCAAACATTGTCTTCATCAGTGTGTCCTGCTGTCTCATGAGGAGAGTCAGTCAGTAGTCAAACATTGTCTTCATCTACGTCTCCTGCTGTCTCTTGAGGACATTCGGATTCGGCACTTTCAGACTGAGCATGCGCGGACAACATATTTAAAATAATATATTATGAACATTGATGAAATGTTGACATCCATAATATTAATAAAATAATACATTCAATTGTGAAAAATAATTTAGAACGTTGTAGTGCGTTCTTATAAGAAAAATATGTGTAATATCACGTATAATATTCATAATGGACCAAGCAGTATGATGGAATTGATCGTCAGGAGTAGCTATGTGATGATATGTGATGTGATGTAAAACTCACAGCTGATCACTGATCGATTCATAGTAGCCTAATTTCGATTATTACTGCGAACACACACATTTTCATTCACACACATACGGTGGGAAAATTGCACTACACAAATCACGTTTTACTTCGATTACACTCATGACGCCACTGATGTCTCATTCATGATGAAATATCAATATCTGATAGTGATATAACTTAACGTTATATAATGTCTCTGTGAATTTTGCTTCAGGGTAACATCATTTTCCAACAGACGGCGCTATTTAAGTGTTTTTTCTGCAAAATATTCACTGAATAATGAATAAAAAAAATACAATTCTTACCTGACGCGATTAAAAGGAGTGTAAGTTTTGAAACGGGAGCAGAAGTGCGAGAAAACAACAGTGGAACACGGCCGCGCGCTGATGACGTCACACAGTGCCACGTCTGAAGCTGTCTGAGTGCGATTCAACAAACAGTTTACAGGGATTTCACTCTTCATTAAATAATTTAGAATTTATTTAGACATTTTATAAATACATAATACAAATATTAACAAGAAAATACAAGCCAGAATTAAGTTACTTATGTGTAGTTGTTCAGTTGCGAAGGGTGACTCGTTTTAACGAATCGGCTCTCTTGAATTATTGGTGTCAGGATATTGCCGTGCACATAATAATCCCCTTTCATGTTGTTATATCCGATTTATTAATAATTCTAATGGCTACAGTACTTGTTTTGGTCTCGGGCATGTTGCACAATGCAAAAATGATTTAATGATTTAAAAACTGTATTATATAATAATTCAGAGCTGCCAACTATTGTACTAATTTTAAAATCACCTACGTGCATTATAGCTTTGACGCGCTTCCACATCGCATGATACCTAAGGGAACGTCTGTTGTTAAATCCTCCAAGTTGTTAAAACGTATAATTTAAAAACAGACATGATCGAAATCCAAAGCTTGATTGTACTGGTAGTAGACTGACTACAGCTGTTTTTCCCCAATACCTCCTTTCATTTATTTATAGTAAACCATTCTTTTTTATGAAATTTCTGTAAAATATAAACTTTTTTTTCTTTTATTATGTTTCAAACGTTGTAGTTCCTATTAATCAGACTGACTTACAACAGGCAACATTGTGCCAATAGCTCCCTGCATGCAGAGTATAACAAATTTGTTTGTTTGTTTTTTAATACAAACATTAGGACTAGCTACTGGACCAGGACTTATTACAGGTGAAATTGTGCCAATACCTTCCTGTAATTCTGCAATTCACCAAATGGTTTTTATTTTTATTTTTCTAATTATATTATACATGGAAAGTGCTATAATTTTCAGATATTAGTAAACAAGTGTTTAATAGAATATTGTTCACAGTGATATCACAGTGATATATGATAGATTAATGGTGAAGTCTGTAGTTTGAGAGCATATGTTATTTATTGGGAATATAATTATATTTTTTAAAATAAACAATTTTTAAAAAAGACATAGCTTGTGGGGTAAAACGCCCCCTATGCTGATGGGTAAAACGCCCCCCAAGGAGCATAGTTTCTCTTTATCGTAATTACTATAGTAACATATTTCTGTTCATCAAAGTCTTTATTTTACACTTTAATGCAGTATAACTAGATGGTAAAATCAAGATATTTGAACAAAACATGAAAAAATTACCCCAAGTGAGCATTATCTAGCTAGCTTGGTGGATGCAATGATGTGAGGTGGTCAGGTGACCCAACAATAAAACATAGTGACTTTTAATGCATTTTTGGAATATATTTCACTATAAATATACTCATTTATGTTTAATATTTATTTAGGGTTTCCTGTTTTTCTTGATGATAGTGGTGAACAAATACTACATCAATTATCAACCCCATATAGGCCTAGTGTAGAAATCAAAATATTAAAATGTTAGAAATTTGGCTATTTGGTACATTCCTGAAATAAATATTAATAGGTATATATACACATGTTGTTGCATTACTTGCCTTTTACTTTTAGAGATTAAAAACTATGTTCATTTTGCTGTTGATCTATGAAGCAAACTGGTTGGTAAGAAAGGGGGCATTTTTACCCCACCGCTGGGGCAAAACGCTCCCTTTGTACAAAAATATTTTCAGTCAAAAAAATAAATAACTATGAAGGTTGAGCAATTTTAATATTTGGTAAATAACTCCTGCCATAGTCACTCAAAACTGGGATGGTAATTCTAGTCAAATTTATGTTTTGTTTCACAGTAATGTCACATTTTCCTTAAGGGGGGCGTTTTCCCCCACTCTACCCTAATCCTCTTCTCTTCAAATACGTCGCTGGGGTCAGCTTCTCCATGGAGATTTCTATATCCCCGTTGTCAACGTAGTGCATAGCAATAGTAAAAATGTATCTTGATTCATTCTAGTGGTTATTTTGGGAAAAACGGGTAGGGGGCGTTTTACCCCAGGGGGGCATTTCCCCCCACTCTACCCTAATAAAACTACATTTTAAGCAATTGGTGGGATTGCCAGACGTTTAGGGATCATGTGCTGTGGTAGCGCATCAAATCATTCTCAAGTATATACACAGCTATAGGCAAGCTCTTTTAGATCAGGAACAATGCTCTTGGTGATTGGAAGAGAGTGATCACTGTGCGTAACCACTGTAACCACTCGGCCCCAAAGCAAAAATCTGGAGTGCAAGCAAAATATCCAGCCTACCCAAGTACTCCTACCCAGCTTAACATACCGTATATCTGGGTAGGAGTGGCTCGGCATGCACATGTAATTCGCAATTATTCTTTGGCCAGTTTGTTTTTTTACTACTTACTACTTAGAGGTGATTTTGGCACCCAAGTGAGACCATAATACGTTAGCGAACTAAGCGGCTGCTTAGGGCCCCGCCGCCACCAGGGGGCCCCCTAACTAAAGATGGTATAGACCATTTCACAAGATGTAAACAAGACTGGTCCAGACACACGTCCTGTTTCAGTTTGTTAAGTTTATCCCATATTTTATGTAGTGTTAAAAAACTGAAACAGGAAGTGCTTCTGGACCAGTGTTGTTTACATCTTGAGGGGCGCTCCTGTAAAAAATAAAGTGGGTGAAACTTCCGGTGAGGCGGCGGAAGTAGCATTCCAATGGTATTTGGTGTTAACGAAGAGGCTAGCTGTTTTTCGGAGAATTATTTTACTATTTAAAGACGCAAATCTTTATGAAAGATGGTGTTACGGAGTTCATGGACAACATGTGCTGTTCGCGGTTGTATGTATAATCGGACTAAACTAGTTCAGTGGCTTAAACGTGATTGTTTTGAACATAAGCTGAAAACGAAATCAGAGTGATCCTGCCAGAGCCCATCTCTGATCCTGCCAACGACTGTAGTTCCCTTTCGAAGGGAACTCAACAATACGTCGAATGACGCAATGGGGGAACGCCTCAGGCGTGACAGGTGTCTGAAATCAAATATCAACTCACAGTAATCAGGTTGACCGGTGACAGCCCGTGCATCATCAGCTTGAATGATGAGCGCGTCAATCTGGATGTACAAGAAGGGCGCCTTGAAACCGTGACAACATCTTTTCGTCTTCAGGGACTGTTTGTCTGTGTGATAGTATCAACGATTAAGCGCGCAGAGACGTGGAGAAACACTTTGCGCGAGTGTGCCGACTTGTGTCCAGATATTTGACACTGGAGGATTCACACGATCTGTGCGTGTTCTGCCTGAGAGAAGAGCATTCGCGGGAAGTTCTCGAGGGAGTTTTTTGCACGAACTGAGAGTTTTCCTTTCAGAACTCTCTGCTCTCGTCTGACCCACTTCTCGAGGGAAGTGGGCGCGGCATCTGAACCCCGCGGTTCCGGTTCCCGCTCGGGCTGAGGCTCAGTGGTGGTTGAGCTCGTGGAGCTTTCAGATGGAGCTGGCAGATTATCGGGAGAGGGGCGTTAACCTCGCGGATGATCTACCAGCTGACGAGGGTGAGTTACAGATTAACGTTGAACATCTAAGAAGAGAGAAAATGAGCGCTCTCTCTCTTTGGTGAATCTGTAACTGTTCTCTTCGGGCAGGGCAGGAGTTCGCTGTAATATATATATATATATATATATATATAGAAAAGGATGTCAGTTTGGTTGAGACCGAACCATTTCAGCCCTCCTGCCCAGTGTACGCTGAGCTGGTTGACATTATGGGGCGCGCCACAGACAGATTGCAGTTGCAGTGGAGACGCGTCTGGGAGGAACCCGCTCATGGTATTTTGGATGGCTGGTTCCTCCCCACCCATAAGCCACCAGCCCGGATGAGCCTTCCATTCCTTTCAGATCTCCACGCTGGGATTGAGAGGGTATGGAAGAATCCGTTCTCCTCACGTCTCTATCTGCATCAGCGGGCTAGTTTCGCTGCTGTGGAGGGAGCCGTGGAACACGGATATGTGTCGATGCCGCCAGTGGACGAGACGTTTGGCTAACTATCTCGTCTCTGGTTGGTCCTCTTCACTAAGAGCTCTGACCCTGTCATCCAAGCTGCTTAAGACATCTTCATGCTTGAATGACAGAGCTTACACGGCAGCAGGTCAGGCAGGTGCGGTTCTGCACGCCCTTGTGTTCCTCAGGCCTACCAGACTGATCTGCTCCGGGACTCCAGGCCACCAAGCAATCTGCTGTTCCGTCAGTGCTATGGTGGCCACGGAGAGACATCTGTGGGAGCTCCCACATACTGTGGTTGCCGGGTTACAGGCCTCACCAGGCCTTCCTGGTTATGAGCTCCCACATACTGTGGTCACCAGGTTAAAGGCCTCACCAGGCCTTCCTGGTTATGAGCTCCCACACATTGTGGTCGCCAGGTTACAGGCCTCACCCAGCCTTCCTGGTTATGAGCTCCCATATACTGTGGTCGCCAGGTTACAATCCTCACCAGGCCTTCCTGGTTATGAGCTCCCACATACTGTGGTCGCCAGGTTACAGGCCTCACCAGGCCTTCCTGGTTATGAGCTCCCACATACTGTGGTCGCCAGGTTACAGGCCTCAATAGGCCTTCCTGGTTACGAGCTCCCACACATTGTGGTCGCTACGTTACAGGCCTCAAAGGGGCCTTCCTGGTTATAGTTCCCACATACTGTGGTTGCCGGGTTACAGGCCTCACCAGGCCTTCCTGGTTATGAGCTCCCACTTATTGTGGTCGCCAGGTTACAGGCCTCACCAGGCCTTCCTGGTTATGAGCTCCCACTTATTGTGGTCGCCAGGTTACAGGCCTCACCAGGCCTTCCTGGTTATGAGCTCCCACATGCTGTGGTCGCTGGGTTACAGGCTTCACCAGGCCTTCCTGGTTATGAGCTCCCACATACTGTGGTCACCAGGATACGAGCTCTCACATACTGTGGTCGCCAGGTTAAAGGCCTCACCAGGCCTTCCTGGTTATGAGCTCCGACACATTGTGGTCGCCAGGTTACAGGCCTTACCAGGCCTTCCTGGTTATGA